TGGAATTTCTCCAGAGGAGATATTCAAATGGTCAATAAGCACAAAAAATTATGCTCGAAGCATTAGCAATAAAAATGCAAATCAAAACCACAGTGAGATACTTCTTCCCACCCTCTAGCATAAATATGATTTTAAAGATAAACCAGACAATAGCAATGATTGGAGTAGATGCAGGGAAATTAAAGCACTCATATTTTGCTAGCGATAATGCAAAATGTTGCAGTTCATTTAGAAAACTACTCAATGCTTCCTCAGTAAGCACAAAATGAAGTTGTCATATGACACAGCAAATTCACTCCTAGGTATATACACAAGAGGAATTAAAACATATGTCCATACACACTTGAAGAAATTGTGCACAGATGTTTATGGCAGCATTATTCATAATAACTAAAAATGGAAGCAACCCAAATGTTCAACAAGTGATAATATGGAAGAAGAGAATTAGTTATGTCTGTGCAAGAAATTACTATCCAGCAATAAAGAGAAAAGGAGTGCTATTCATGCACAGTATGGTGAACCTCAAAAACATGAAATAAATGCAATCAGCCACAAAAGTTGTCATAAGTATGGTATTATTTACATGAAGTGTCCAGAATTGGCAAATCTATAGAAAGATCAATAGGTGAATGATTACCTGCAGCTGGAGAGGGGGCATATGGGGAGTAAATTGTACTGGGTATAGGTTTGGGGGATGATAGAAATGTTCAAAAATTTGATAATGGTGATGGTTGTACAACTCTGTGACTGTGCTGAGATACACTGAATTACTTGCTTTAAGCAGATGAATTATAGCTCCATGAGGCTGCTGTGGAAAAAAATAAAAAATGAATGACACATACTGGGTTCTGTGAAACTAGGGAACCTATTCAATTATACAGTAGTGGCATAAGTAAATCTGACTGTGACTAGTGGCATTTGGAAGAAAGAAGCCTTATGTAAGTAATGATGGAGAGATGTGTTTTACCTGATGACAGTGAGGTCATGTGCTATTAGCCAAAGAATTGATAAAATGCAATTTTTCCCCAGATTTTCAATAATTATTTTGTTTTCACATTCACGAAGACTCATTGCTCTTTTAATGATATAGTGAGTGCTGCATGATGGTGTTGAAGTGGGAAACAAGTATAAAATGTACATGATGGCTTTATTGGGTCCCCTGAGAGTCACTCTCCAATATATACATAGATTCCGTAGACTTAGAGAGTTGTTAAAAGTTTTTAAGGAGCAGGTAGACTTAGGAAAGTAAGGTTCAGATAATATGCCTAAAATAATACTCAGAAATTATTTAGAACTTTGTCAAA